GGGTGGCTATTATTGGTTGACCACTGTCAGACAACGAGGCCTTGCTAAAAATTTGTCCGCCTGCTTTTCGAGCAGAAGGACAATGTTCCGCGTGAGGTGGGTGAAACGCACGACGGTTTTTAAATCAAGGTCACACCCGGGTTTTTGTCGATCCTCCTGCGTACACAGAACGGTCACCGTCTCAGAATGTCCGAATAAACTGAAACAAGTGGAACCCACATTCGCGCAAGCTCAGCAACAGGGATCGGAATTGATTGATGACTCGAAGAAACCTTTCAGCATATCCTTGAAATAAAACGGCCTGGCAGATGTCACCGGCATTTGTGATAGAACATCCTAAGTAGAGTGTGGGCCAAAGGCTTCAAGCAAAATGTGTCATGTTGCTATGACGAGAGTGTCAGCTTGTGTCAGTCTCCAATACATGGAATAACTAGTTAGGAACTTTGCGTGGTCTGCTCCGTCGAGGGTGACTGTGCGCTTACTATTTTAATCGGTTCGAATCAACCTGGAAGGCTTTAATTTGAAGGCTGTCTAGCAAACTGTATGTGATCCAGCGTTCTGCACTGCACAGTACAGTGTATGTGGTAAAGCTATGTATCTGAGCCAAACGGAAAACCAAAATCAACGGGTTACATTGGACTAAGATGGGCTTGATCGACGATAGCCAAGCTGCGTCCCGTATCTGTGGCACCGAGTTCATAAAGGACTACTTACTTTCATAGATCGTCTTCGGCGTCAGTCATCTGAGAGTAATATATTGGGAATAAAATGTTCAAATACCTGAATATGCTCTTGCGATGTATCCTTCCCAGCTCATCTGGGCTAACACTCACTGAACAAGTAAGCGATTATTGCTGTGTATTCTGTTTCAAGCGTATTTGTTTCCTCATGTTGTGGTCATGTGAAATTCTCGTTCCAATTTTCAAAATCACCTTCCAGTTGGCTGCAAATTTCATACATCTCTACTCTATGGTAAAAATAACAAAAAAACCAGAACTGTTGAATGTCGTCCGGTCATTATGATTACTTGTTATTTACTTGGGTTACTGGCTTGATTTCAGACTGGAGCACCCATTGGAGAAATCCAGTTTTCCACCCCGTTTGAACGTTTCCGATCTGTATTGAGGTGTTTGGGAAGCTCATTCCTGATTTTAAGGCGTTGGTTCCGCTCAATTTTTTCTTTCTGAAGGTCTCTTCTCTCCAGCATTACCAATGATAACCGCGGCAAGTGATCAGTGCTTTATTAGCTGGCATACTGACCCAAGCCAATTTGCTGTTTTCGATAATGACGGTGATGATGATGCTGCTGCTGAGGGGGGCACCCTTGCTTTGTGGTTTGGGGACTACAAAGTTCGGGTTTACAAGACCACTTCACAAAAATTTTCCCTCCAAGGAGATGATTGTGCTGCCAAACACGTTCAAGTGGACACCGAATTGAATTTTGTGCGTACACCAACTGCACCTGTACAAATGAAAATGGATTTTTATGGTAGGTCCTTGTGACTGGTATTCAAGTGTTGTAGGCTTTTCCGTTGACGTTCTGAAAAAAATGACTCAGCAAGCGAGCAAAAATCAGACATTGTCACTGTGTGTCTTGATAATGTATATTTGCATGTTGATTAAACGTCAGTTTTCGAGCTCTGCGAACTAATAAACAGCCACCTTATCAATTATCAATGATGGCATCCTATCCAACAGTGTTCTAACGTATTGCTGATTTGGTACAAGTCCGTAGCCAAGAGCTTGTGAATGTAACTTTGCGTACCTGCAACACCCTGGGGTTGGGCAGATTTTCATGGTAGCTAAACCTGTAGGCGTCCCAAGCCAGCCACAGATCACGACATTACAATTTTCAAACGATCTAAAAAGAATAAATAAAACAATCCAGCGGGTAGGCAGTATGTTTCAACGAATTAACAGCAAGCTGGTAGTCTGTAGCATGACTTAACACAAATTGGGAAATTGTGGCAAGGAAGGTTAGTTGTCGTGAAGCAAAATTGACCTTGGTGCGGTCTGATTATTCCCGGTGCTGAAGGCCTGCATATCATTCCTGTTTATGGGTGCAGTGTCGGTGGAATCATTCGCGGACATCTCAAGGCTGTTGTCCTTGATAAAAAAGGGTTCCTAGAAAACCACCAGCTTCACATTATCCTTGATATACCACCCTTCGTAATCCGTCAAAGTTTATAAATCTTCACGTTTATTTCACTTCTGCATCCCATTCATTTCCCGTTCTAGTTTACGAGTAGTCTGTCTACATGCGGTGATGAAATTCAGGTCCCCAGGTTTGGAGAATTGTGGGTAGATATTCATACTCGCTCTCTGATTTCTTCTGTTGTACTTCCATCGGGTGGTTGGCCCGTTTCTGATGCGATCACTATTCAGGAACGTTGAACCTCATTTGATTTTTGTCTCAGGATTTGCTAATCAAAAATGAATGATTATAAGTGTAGAGGAGAGTTCCTAACCATTGCCGTTATCAAATCTGATGTTTGAAAGTAGCGGCATGCAAGTTGACTTCCGTCAGCAACCCTACAAAAGCCGTGAAACAACTTGGACCGCTACAAAAATTTATCTGTAAAATTGGCTTTTAAGTCCTGAATCTCCACATATTTCCGGTTTTTTGTTGTCGTTTTTCGGGGGGCTTTCGCTTTGCGAATGACTGAATTCTGAATAGCAAACTGAGCTATTCGGGTCCAATTCTCGTGGAAGTGGTGCCTCAATGTGCTTTACTTTTATCTCGAACTACTATTTAACTTTGGTAAGTTGTGGACTAGAATAAAAACAGGGAAGAAAGCCCAAGGTCGAGTATGATAGGTTGCTTTTGTTCAACGAGGAAGTTTTCCCTGGAGTGACATTTGTAAAATAACTGGATGTATTTTGAGCACGCATATTTTCGTTCTTGGGATAACCTGCAAAACAAAATAAGGAGAACTGTGGGATGGATTAGTTCTGTTTGGCACTTGAGGTACCCGATGTTTCACTCCTCGGATTGGCACATTTTAAAGACCGGGGTTAATCTGTGAAGTGCTACATAAGCTGTACCAAATGGGTTGCCCATGAACCCTTGTACTAGTCCCAAAACCAATATAATTCTGCCAGATCATTTCAAGAACATAATTCATAGTGCACTAGCAACCACCAAACAGTGAACTGGCCGAACTTTCCTAGTGTTTTAAAAAACGTTGTGTACTGGTGTTTTCTTTGATGAAAATGAATAATCCATCTTTTTCAAGCCTTTGACTTAATCCAACGAGCCAATGTGATAAAGATTCCTTTCTGTTTTTCACTTGGAACAGCATTCTCTGGAGCAGCTCGAGATAGCTCGGTGGTTACAGCGCGAAGTTACTGACAGGAATGTTCGTCGTTCGAACCCGACCTCTGCCTCTCGGCGTCCCGTGTCTAGGCTTGGGCGGACTGACAGTATCCAAGTCCTCGTGCTTTCTTCAGCTGACATGACAGTACTTATTTGCGTCACATATGCCTACATGTTTCCTGAGATCATTTTGCGTGTTGTGTGTCTTGTGGAAAGGTCAACCTTGAGGATGGTCTATTGGAGTGGAAGACTTTAAATCACTTTTGGCCTTCTGAACTTAGGCTTATGCTATACTTTAGAAAGTGCACATTCAACCTTTGTAGTGGTGGATACTACTGACGAAGCATGTGGGTAGTATGTTTTCTCGTAAAACCGCTTCGCGTCTCTTGAAAAGGGAGATCTATTACGGGATTTGTGGAGTCACTTGATAGCATTCGCTTTAGGAAGACGCGTTCAAGGAGAAGACCAGCTTATATCTCTGCTGTGGAGAAGTAACGCAACTGAAGCACTTAATTCCCAAACCAGTGCTCACGCTTTGACTTTACAGTTTTCATTCAAGCCACGTCTGTCGAATTCGGGATCCAAACAAACACTTGCTTTTAAGTACTTATACTTGACCGTAAGATAACTAATGTCATTTTGATGCATGGACTACGAATAACGTTTTCCTAAAATAGGAATTTACTTGAATGAAAATGCACCTACTATGCGATTCTTCATCCATCCATGCAGATACGGGTCATGAAGTTGTTGAAGAGATGTTCTTTGTTCCTTAGGGAATGTACTGTTATTCTAGTGAACAACTTTGCATGCTTTTTCTTTCGCAACAGATTCAATCGGAAACCCGCAGTATATCGATGTCATTATGGTGGCTGACCGAGTACACAAAGTCACATGGGACCCACCAAATTCACCAGTCCAAACTCCGCACGTATACGTGGTGGCACAGATGTACGAAAGTGGCAAAGAAAAGGCAGTAGCTTACATCCCCTCGTCTGGTCCTTTTCGTGAGTCGTACATCACTTTTTATAAGAAGTCCGCAAGTTCTTCAATTCGTCCCCGCACAACTTCCGTGTGATGTAAAAACGTATAAAACAATGTACAGATATGTTCCTATTACGGTTCCTAGTAATGCGGTATTCATGCCTCCTAACCGGCTTTCCAAAGTTACAGAACCTACAATTTCAGTTGAAACATGAAACACGTTCGTGCCGGAAACCAATGAGCAGGACTAAGTGGCTCACTCTCATACACAGTTGCTGTTATCACTCGTTACAATATTCACTCACTTTTTCACATGTCTTGAATTCGTTTAGAAAAAATTGTACAGGTCATTGAGGACTTGATGTGGAATTTGATAGCAAACATGAGGCCACTGTTGTGAAGCGTAAGCTTTTCATTCGTCAGTTTGCTCCTGACGGGTACAGCATTCCCGCACATATTGTAAAATTAGACCACGCACGTTATTCTGTAGGAGCCAAATGTAAAATTAACCACGCACGTTATTCTGTAGGAGCTAAACCTGAACGTTGTCATGAATCACACAGGAAACTCAGCAATAACCAACTCTAAGAAAACTTTGCACTTAAGGGAGCTGTTTGATCCCGTGAGCCTACGGTCAGAAAGATCGTACGACACAGTAACGCATCTCAGTGGGCAGGAATTTTTTCGTGTCACTCAATCTTTATGATTTTTCCCTGATAAAAGCACACAATCACTAAATAGGTTTTCATCACTCCAACTACTCAAAATAGAGGAACATAGGACAGGCTGTAAACAGGAATTAGACGATGGAATCTATTGTTGAATTGACCAACCAAAATTGTTTGTTACAAGTGATTTGTAGTATTAGTTAGAAAGATATTCATAAGCTGGGACCTGGCCGATGGTCTCTCGACTGTCCTCGATTGCAGTAGTTGATTCACGAACAACGCGAACCGAAGTTAATTGTGCTACAACCTTGGCATGTAGAGCTATTTTTTACCAAAATTATTCATTCAACTGGAGGGAACAAGCCAACAGAGCTCGACAGAAACTCTGCAAAATGATCTGTCGCGTTTTGAGCGATGTCTGCACTTTATAGTTGGTGCGGTGACATTACAGTGCAAACGTTTATCGTCAGAAACGTAACCGAACTGGGGGGAATTTACTACTTTATTGTCTAAAGGGACAAAGTGTTTCTTCCAAATAGTTACGATCATCATGCAATGGGTGTAAAGGATGATTTTTCTCAAGTGCGTGGAAACTGTCTATAGCATAGTGTTAAACGTGGGCTCCTTCACGTTGCCTTACGTGTCAAACTTTTCACCCAAATGCTCCAATTACTGTCCTCTGAAAAAAATGTGTTGTCCCTTTTTCCCTTTCCACCTGCGCCACATTTGTGCGTCCCCTGTTTCGCTTTATCTTGTTATGCAAACAAATTGCTTTCTCTCGCAACCTGCATCTATACCTAAAGGTTCTCCGAGTATTTGAAGATCTGATCTCTTCTTTTGTCGACATGTTGTGTTTGGACCCTGTTTGAACCCTAATACAAGCAGATTAGTAAGCTGCCTCAGCCAGAAAAAACTGGTTGAGTAGGTGATGGTCCGACAGATATGGCCAGAGATAACTTATGTGAATGGATTCCGTTTGACAGATGATCGTGAGAGCTGCCTCAGCCAGAAAAAAACTGGTTGAGTAGGTGATGATTCGACAGATATGGCCAGAGATAACTTATGAGAATGGATTCCGTTTGACAGATGATCGTGAATTAAAATGACGCTTCCAATTTAGCGCTTGGTTGCTGGAGGTGTAAATCAGGATGAGTTCTAAATGCCGCCTTGTTCAACAACAAAGCAAGGGTCTTTAGATCATCTTTAGCGTGATCATCGCCTGCATCAGCTTCCGGCGTTTGAGACACTGACACTTCACCGCTGTCAAAGGCTGGGGCGAGTCAAGACGTCAAAACAATTGTTGTCGTGCCCTGAATTTGATCACTTGACGACAGTGAAAGAAGTGATATTGCGGTCCAAATGAAGGACAAACTGACCACCACGGGATCAGACCTGAAGGAACCATCTGATCCGGTGGTAACTCGATACACCAACTAGATGCACCAATCTAGTCTCACTCCATCATGATCGTTTTCAATTATAGTGCGCAATGTTAAAAATCGTTCCACTAGCTGAGGTGGTTGTAGCCATAAAATGTTCAGAGAAACGTGAATATCGTTTAATAGCCTTCTCTTCAAAAGCGTCTTGAAATATCGTTCGAAATCTTATACAATGGGGTGCATTTCGGTACGAAACTTGAGAACGAAATGTCTAATGGTAGACTGGGAGTTTTGTATGACCTTGCATGACCTTGCGTCAAAAATGGAGGCTATAGCTGTAACCAGAAAGTTCCGATCGCTGTCCAAGTTTTGAAGTTCAGCGAGTGCCAAGAACTCGTTGCAGACACCCACATAGAAGGTTCCGGTACACTTAGAGGACTGAATGATTTCAGTCACATTTAAGTCGTCTACTAGCGTCGTTTGCAGCAAACTTGCGTACCCAGATGATGTAGTCGTCGAACCCCAAGTAGAATTTACCAGAATAAAGCAATAAATAAAATTCCACTGGTTCACTCAAAATGGTGGGAGAGTGCATGTTACATTGTTACCTAACCTTATACAAGTGTAACGGTGATATAACTGATCGGGAGGCACGCGAGTAGTACGTGTTGTTCGTAGAATTTCGCCTTGCGTCGATTGAAAAAGGGAATTCTGTTGCGGAATTCGCGGGGCCACTTTGTAACATTTGCTTGGATTTGACCGACGAATGATTGGAGTCAATGAATCTCCGGGATGACTCGTTCGGGAGAAGATCTGTGTCCAGTTTTTGTAACTAAGATGCAGATTAGAGTTTCGCTTCCCTGTTCAATGGTCTGTAACCGGTCAGTTGGCATTTCTGAATAAATAACTCCGCGGCGAAGACCTTCTTCTTCCTTTCACAAGCGGAAACAGATTGAATTTTATTATATGGAGTCCGTCCCTGTACATCTACGCGAGAAAAGATCGGCAACTGATTATGCTAACCACCGAGGATCAGTGTTACTTCCAATACCAAGAAAACACTGACTAAGTTCTTCGAAAATTAATGAGTATTGTGTGATTGCACATCTGAACTGCATCCAGCTTCCCAAGTGGACGGGGATGCACAGAACAAAGCCTTGAACGAATCGTTCACTGTGTGGTTTTTCTTTTCATAAGTTTCGCTTTTGACTTTGGTGATCAAATCAGACCACTTGAATGTTTAACGAGTGTAAGGGTACTGGTGGGATAGGGGGCCATGCATGGAGCCCTGTATCACAATATGGGAGCTAAAGTCAGACCATATGTTTCCAAAGACCCAGTGGACCAGCCCAAAGTTGTCTCACAGTTCTATTCGTGTTCAACTCTACCGAGATGACAGAATGATACGAATCTGTTGAAAGAGGCAGAGCTGTTCCATTGTTAATCAATGTTAGAAATGAAGTGCATCGATGAAACTGTAATAGATGACAGAGCAATAACCAGGCAGAACCTGTTGCATAGTTCTGTGAACAAGGCATCGCCGAACACAATGTTTGGGGGTTTCA